GAGTAATCTTATGTTAAATGTTCGTATTTTAAAAAAAAGGAGGCTGGGAGGAAACTTCTACAGGCGATGGATGAGTTCAGGGCATTGTATATGGTGACGTTTTCACGGGTGTATACTAACCTCCAAACTCACTAGGATGGACACGTTAAACATATACGGCTTTTTTGTACGTCAATCACATCTTCAGATAAACAGACATATATAAACATATATTCATACAAAAGCAAAAAAGAAACAGCCCATCAGAAGGAGAGTTTGATGAATGGCAGATTGTAGCTCAGATGAAGAGCTCGCTCTCCATGGGAAAGGCTTCAAGGCGAGTGAGAACTTAAGACTTTAAAGCCTGGAGAACGAGGAGAGGAGCAAACAGGGAAACACCACCTGCGGGACACGGTGGAAATCAAAGGAGTCCTGCCTGCGGCGGCAAAGGGCGGCCAGCGGTGGGAGCAGAGGCCCCGCTGGCTCTGGCACGAACAGCCCCAGCTCACAAACCCAGGGCCCGAGCAGGGCTCAGCCTGCCCCAGCCGCCTCTACCCCCAGGTACCAAGAGATGACGGCATCTTTGACTCTCTACAGATTTTACTAGGTTTTCCCAAATCTCAGTCATTCATATGCAACCGTCGCCATTTTTGCCAGGTTCTTATATAGCTTGTACTATTATTATTTACTTCCTAGTTTTAAAATTTGACTTCCGTTTTAAGTATTTTAAAAGGAAACTTTGCACGGCCATTAACAGAAAACCGATGGTACTTGATTTAAAAGTGTCGCTTGTTATAAAAGGAAGTAACTGGAAAACTACAGAACTCAAATTGAAGGGTCTTCTTCAGAACGACAGGCTTCCATTCTTTAAAGGGACCCAGAGGGACATGAAGCTGAGTGCGCTGTGTGCCCGGAACTGGGTCGTGGGGCGGGGAAGGTGGTGGCTTGAAGGAGGACCCTGGGATAACTGTAAATACGGACATACAGATAACAGCATTGTATCGACATTAAATTTCCCAATTCTGATAACTGCACTATGGTTAAGAGAATAATCTCCTTACTCTTAGGAGATGAGAGTTGAAGTATCTAAGTGTGAAAAGCACTTACTGCAACTTACTCTCAAATGGCTAACCCAGAAAGTACATATATTAATCATACACATAGTGAGAGACGTGAAGCAAACGAGACAAAAAGTCAATAATGGCTGAATGTGTGTGAAAGCTTTATGGGTATTTATTGTAATCTACAATTTTTCTTAGGTTGAAAATTTACGAAATAAAAACTATTACAAAAGACATACATCCGCAGGCCATTAATTACGGCCCTGTGACCATGGCAAGCATGTGGGAGCCGCTTAGTAAACTTTTGCTGTCGGATGAACTATTGTAATAAAAACGTGTGTCCCCGTGTCCCTAAAATCATCTCAAATAGCACCAGTGGCCCGCACGCCACACTGGGGAACCCACCGTGTCCAAGGACAGGGGACATGTGCAAAGCACCAAGCGGGTCCGTCGCAGGCCAGAAGGCATTTCGATGCCCACACTTCCCACCGAAGACAGACAGGAAGTGCATGGGACGCCTGCCCCGGAGCCACTGGGATGGCGGGTGACAGCGGAGGGAAGATGACATTCACAGTGCAGCAGGGGTCTGGAGAAGGGACGTTTCTGTTCTTTTTTTCTTGCTAACACCAACCCGAGTAGTGGCAAAAGACAACCAGACGGGAAGAACAGCATGCTACTTTGAGGGGCGGGGGGACAGGGGCATGGACAATGCCAGAAAACACTCCTGCCCACACATCTTCCCCAACGTCAGCCTTACGGCCTGAAGAGAAGCATGAGTGCTGAGTCGAAGTGAAATAGTATCGTTTGTAAAATTCTCAACGTGAGTTTTCTTCATATTCCTGTCTAATAGCAGAAACTCAATTTTGTCATTTCTTACTGAGTAGCAATCAGGACTATTTGAAATCGGTTGGAAAAGTTGTTGCTCTTTAACAGAAAAGCAGAACCAACTCGCATCAAAATAAGTTCTCTTCTGCTTAAGTGGCAAAGATCAGAAATGACCTAAAATGCCCATCGGTAAGATTCGGCGCAGTAGATCAAGGTACATCTACGTTCCAGCTTGCTGAGCGATCGTTACGAAGAGGCAGTAATATACCAGACTTACATTCATTTTCAAGACAGAATGGAAAACATATTTAAAGAGGTGGAATAGTGTTTACAGAACATTACCATCTGAGCGTAAGTTTACAAATGCTTGCATGCAGGTAAGTATCTATGGGAGGAGACGCAAGAAACTTAAGAAACAGAAGTGAGAGGACTTTGTACTGTTTACTTTTTATTTCTTTTGAATTTTGTACCACGTGCATGCATCGCCTACTTTTCAATACTAACATTTTAAAAGAGAAAATAAACCAGTATCAGAAAAATCTGTGCTTTTAAAAAATATACGAACTGTCTTCAAAACCTTAACACAAGTTACTGTTCTAATCTTGTTCACCTATTAAGATAACTGTAAGAAAATAAAAAGTCTTTCCGCTGTAGACACTAGTGATTCATCCAACAACTCTGAAAGTCCCTAGAAAGTTTACATGTATTTGTGTGCGAGGGAGGGCTCAAAGGTCCCGAGGACACGTCTTTAAGGCAGGAGAAGGGCTCAGTGGCTACGGACAGGTATCTGAGGCCACATGCACAGGACAGGTATGGAGGGCTCCACAAGGATGACTTCCAACCTCCTGTCCCTCTGTTACCTGGAATGTGGCCACTGAGTAGGACTTCCAAGTGGCCCCATGTCATCCATTTGGTAGGACAAGACACTAAACGTCAACAGAGTAAGCCAAAGAGCCCCTGGCCAGACGTGAGGCCTCACTTACACTGTGTCCAAAGAGACTTAGGAGTTCTCGTCACCTAAGGAGATGCCTTGAGAGAAAGGAAAAAAAGGTTTCTTTTTAAAGTCGTGGAAAGATAAAACATAAGCACAGAGACAGACGACGTGAAGACACACGAGGAAGGATGGCCATGTAATGAGGGAGGCAGAGACGGAAGGGATGCACCCATGAGCCGAGGAACACCGAAGACTGCTGGCAAACGCCAGAAGCTAGAAGAATCCAGAAAGGATTCTCCCCTACGTCTTTCGGAGGAAGCTTGGCCTGGCTGACCCCCTGATCGCACACCTCTAGCCCCCCGAACAGCGACAGCGAGACCTGGTCTTTTGTTTGAAGCCATCAGTTGGTGGTACTTTGTTATACAGCAGCCCAAGGCAACTAGTACACTGATGAGAAAGTCCTTTTAAGTCTCCACTAACCCATTCCCTGAACAGACAATGAAAAAGAAAAAGTGTGCAACATTAAGTCATCAGAGAAATGCGAACTAAGACAGTCACAACGAACACGCCACACCTACTGGAAAGGCTGACATCGGAGGCTGATGACACCCAAGGTGAGTGACGGTGCGGGGCGAACAGGGTCCCCACACATTGCTGGTGGCTGGATACAGGGGTACAGCCACGTTGCCAGTTCTTATGAAATTAAACATACATCTACCCCATGGCCCAGCAATTCCACTCCTAGGTATTTACAAGAGAAATAAAAACACATGCCCACAAAAGGACATGTACCTACTGTCGTATAACAGACCAAGGTGGAAACCCAAAAGTCTGTCATCAGGAGAATGGACTGTGTGGTGTGGCGCAGCCAGACAATGATTGTCTGCTTGGCAACAGTAAGGAACAACCTGCGGGCTCACGCAACGATCTGGGTGAACCTCAAAGCATTCCACTAAGCAAAAGAAGGTAGTCGCAACAAAATATATACTGCACGATTCCTTTCTTCTTAAAAAAAAATGAACGTGTGTTAAAGATTTTATTTAAGCCACTATTAAAGATGGAACCAGTTAAAAGAACAATCCAAACAGCCATGTTTTTAGATCAGAAATGTTGAAATGGATGTATGAATCGAAGCAAAACTGGATTCCTGTACATTGGAGAAGGGAAGAACCTCCACTGTTAATAATTTATTTGCATGTCTATAAAAACTATTTTGAATTATTTTTTGAGGTATAACTGAGATGATTCAATTTCTCGAGATGCTTCAGTATCTGTGTGTATTATGAAATGATCACAACGAGTCTACATGATTCCATTTACATTGACTGTAAGAACATACAAAACTATGGTGACGGGAGTCAGAGCCACGGAGGGCTAGGGGAGTGCCCGAAATGAGCTGAAGTGATGGAAACATTTATCCCTTGTTTTGGGGGCTAGATACGTGGGTGTGCACAATTGCCAAAACTCAGTAACGTGAACACTTAAGATGCTACGCTTCAATTAAAAGATGGACAGCCCAATACACTAACCGAATCAGGCAAGAGCCATCAACGGACACTAAAACATTTAGGTAAAGTCGTTGGGGGCAGGATATTTGCTTAATCCCCAAGCATTACGCCTCAAGGAGAAAGCCTGCCGGCTCCATGGCACCCACCACCTCACCCACTGTGCCTTCTAACATGACGCAACACAAAACAGTGCCACCTATGAAATAGCCGCGCCAAAAACATAGGACTTGGATCTGATCAAGTCTCTAGACCCAAGTTTCAGGATACTTGGAAAATGTAGGGAACAGAAGAGTGACACCATGAGGAAACAACCAGACAAGTCCGGAAGGCAGGCTGTTGTAGAACACAAGAGACAAAAAGAGATAGGAAGACTGTTCTAGATGAAAAGAAACTAGTGACGCATAAAAACCAAACGTAATACGTAACCTTAATTAAATCCTGGTTTTAAAAATGGCCGTAAAAGCATTCTTAGAACAATCAGGAAAATTGAAATGTTGGAAACACAAATTAGATATTATTAGAATTATTATTAACTTTTAGGGTGTGATAACGGTATCAGCATCTAAGAGAATGTCCTTGTTCTTAGGAGACACGTGCTAAAGTGCTTACAGGTGAGGTATCATGAACTTCGCGACGTACTTTCACGGCTGAGAAAAAAACTTTATTTACACAGACAAATGTATAAGTTAAAAAATGACAGAATTTTAGCAACTGTTGAATCTGGCTACAGAATATATGGGTATTCGTTGCACTATTCATTCAAATTTTCTGTATATTCAAAATGTTTTTATAATAATAGTAAAAAACAACTAGAACATAGTAAAATTAAAAGGGGCCTAACGGCAATGTGGTCCCCAGAACAGGTTCCTGAAACAGAAAAACGACATTAGTGGGGAAACTGGAGAAACACGAAGTCGGCAGCACGGGTGCCATTGCCGAACCCGTGTTAGCCCCGGGAACTGTACCACGGCTAAGATGGTCACGCTCGGGGAAGCTGCGCGGAGGGAGCCCCTATGCTATCTCTGTGAATGTCCTGTAAATTTAAAGTCATTCCAAATTAACAAGCTTTTAAAAAGGGGGCACCCTATGTAAAAGCCGAAAGTTTTAAATCGCATTTTAACATGCATGTCACTGAACAACTTCCGAGTCCAAGGCCCATGACGACGACCTTCCACAAATCTCTAGTTTGGCACAACATGAAAAGTTTCCCCAGGACCACGTGTTGACAGAAGGGATGCCACATCTGTCCCCACTGTCTGGCCATCGGTGCTGCGGGCTTGGTCCTCGGAGGACGGGAAGTTGCCCTCTGGGCGGCAGCCACCTTGTGCTCCTGGCTCAGCGGAGCCCTCCTTAGTTCAGCAAAGACACCGCCTGCGCACGTGCTGGAAGAGGAGGAACACAGCGGCGTCACTCTCTGTCCCTTCCCTGGTCCACAGAGCGCCCGGCCTGACCCGCGTCCCCAGCTGCACCCACCTTTGCAGGCAGACTTAAATTAACCAACCAAGTCGTAGCATCAGCAGACATCTGTGCAAGCCTCGTCGAGTCTCGAAGACTTCCATTCATACTATCTGGTTTAATCCTGGCAACAGCCCTCATTTTATAGAGGACGACTACGGGACTCCTGGCGCCACCTTCACTGAGTCGCAAACACCTCACCTGCGGGTCCCAGCGCCTCTCCCTCCAGGCGCCCAAATACCTGCTTCCTCCAAGGCCAGCTCTTCATTCGGCCTTGGCGACTTCACCCCGGCCTCACACCAACCAGTCAGTCCTCTCCTCTGAATTTCCACAGTCCTTACACTGTGACAGTCAGAGCAGGTGAGGGATGTAAAAACACTTTGGCCTTTTGCCAAATGGGGGGCTGTTGATGGAAGGGTGTGGTTGAGGTCCAAGCAAAAATCTGATGTTTTGAAAGCAACGTCCGTTTGATAAGATTCGCGTACTACTGGGACTGCGTGCTGGTCAAGAGCAGAGTGTGAAGGAAGTCACAGGGCTGGAGTGCGGTGTCGGCTCCGCCAGGTACCCCTGTGTGACCCTGGGCAGGTTAATCACCCTCGGAGCCTTAGGTGACTCCAGTGGAAAAAGGGGAAAGTCATGGTAGCTGGCTCACAGGGCTGTGTGAGGACTGGCGGAAACTATCTCAAGGCCTGGCCCGGAATGAGAACCCGATACGTGGTAACCGTTATCATCATACAGACGGTCCCCACTTTAGGATGGTTCGACTTATGATTTTTCGACCTCATGATGGTGTGAAAGCATCCAGCAGAAACCAGCAAGGTCAGCTAAGACGTTCAGTAGGTTAGGTGTATTTCTGACTTAGGACATTTTCTGCTTATGACACGTTTATCGAGACAACCCCATCGTGAGCTGAGAAGCAGCTGTACCTTGTACAGGCATGCTTCATATTTTCACTTTTGCTTTTTAAAAAAGCTTTCTCTGACTATTAGTCCTGGAATTGGGGGCTGAGAGGGCCCTCAGAAACCATAGAGGGACATTTTAGGGGGGAGCAAAGTTCTCGAAATTTCCCCCAAAAGCTGTCTGTGAGATGAGGACCTTCAGAGTTAGACACATTATCTGAGTCTCCAGGTGGGTGGGAGTCACTGAACCATGTTTGTTCCATGCCTTGCCACCATTTTTATAAATGTGCATCCCTTATACCACAAACACAGCAATATATATCCTGCGGAAGCGCGTCTGAATAAAAAAACAGACTGAAGCTTTAAAATGGCATTCGGTATCATGAAGAATGTCTCTTTCATGAAGAACAAAGAGGGACAAAGGCTCGCTTCCCTAACAGCTGGGCTTCAAGCCCCCATCTCAGAAGAGAACTTGAGTGAGCTCAGAGGACTCCGGGCAGCCTTCATCTAGGCTGTGAGCCTGAATGGCTAGAGATGCAGTCAGCAAAATGCCTGCCCGGCCACCTTCCACCTCGAGCCAGAGTGCAGCCCCAGCTCTCAACCACTGCCGTGGCAGACCAGCCGAAGCAGGTCTGCCCTTGTGCCTTGGTGAGTTTGGGGGCAGCTTGGAGGCCTCTGGCCTCACCTCTCGCAGCCATACAGAAGGCAAGGCAGCATCAAGGAAGATGAGAACTGGCTCGGTCAGCACTGGGAAGGCGGAGAGATGGCCTCGCTTCCTGGGCAGGCTCCGTGCCAGGGCGCGGTACCAACCAGTCAGTACCTTGAATAAGGCAGATCGGACTTGGCCTCCTGCCAGGCAGCGGAAGGGCTGCGCCTCCCTGGGCCACGCAGAAACAAGGCACCCACTTCCGAACCACCTCAGGGATGCACAGGCGCAGATTAGATGACATTCGACCTCGTAGAAAATACTCCCTCTGCCAACCTCTGCACCCCTCCAAACGGTCAAGGAGAGAGCATTAGCAGTGTCAATGTCCCATTAACACCTGCTTGACCCTTATTAATCCCCTCTTAACCAAGAGAGAGGAGTCTTAGGCAGGGATTTAGTAACTGTGTGTGTGTGTGTGTGTGTGTGTGTGTGTGTGTGTGTGTGTGTGTGTTGTGGTTACCTTCTATTTTATAGCAATTGACAATGATGTCCATTTATGGTAGAAATATATTCCCCTTTTTAAGTACATTTCCAGCTTTAAAAAAGAGGAGGAGGGAGGAAAAGACTATAAAATAATAGATTTCTACATGGTAAAAACATAATATACTTTCCTACCTGTTGCTACAGCTTCTTGATACCGCCAATAGCCTAGAACTGTGCTGCCCATTACAGTAGCCACTAGCCATGTGTGACAACTGTGTAATTACTGTGCGATGACGGTCATGTAAACTAATTTAAATTAAATTAAAAATTTCGTTTTTCTCAGTGGTATTATCCACATTTCAAATGCTCAGTAGCCACAGATGGCTCTCAGCTACCGTACAGGACAAGAAGAGAATATTTCCATCATTTCAGGAAGTTCTACTGGACAGCACTAGTCTAGAATGCAACTCTCAGCTCACCTGGCTACTCACCTGGTGGTGGTGCTAAAAGGCCTGGTTTCTCTCCAAGAAGTGGACGCTTGCCAGGCTTTGGAGGGGTGCATCCCAAAGGAGCGGTCCTCTTGGAAGGGGCTGCTAGAAGCGGGGGAGGGGGAAACAGACTTTTGGGGTTGACCGGTCCTGCAGAGAACAAAACCCAACACATAAACAGGAAGACACACGATGAACCCTGCCCCAGCTGCTCTCCCCACAGGGGTGAGCAGAGAGCACCGGCACCTGCCACACGCACCAGGCCCGCCCTCAGCTCCTCAAAGCTTTCCCAGGTTCTCTCTGGACCCAGACTCTGCCTCGGCGGTCACCCTAGGGTCAGCAAGCTGGCGTCTGCAGGCCAGATCCAGCCTGCAGTTTCTTTTGGTATAAGCTGCCAGCTAAGAATGGTTTTCGCATTTTCAAATGGCTACATTTTTAAATGGTTATACAAGTATGCACATAACAGCCTTGAATTTGCTTCTTGGTCCACAAAGCATAAAATATTTGGCCCTTTAAGAAGAAGTTTGCAAATCCTCGGTCTAGTCCATGACTGTCTGGATGTCCTGGTCCTCCACCCCCACGTTCTCACAACTGGGGTCTGTTCCAAACACTCTGTCTTGACACTTGCAACACATTTTCTCAAGCATCCGAGGCGGTGAGGTTCCCGGACAGGTCGGAAAGGCAGAGCCACAGCAGACCGAGGCGCTCTGTTCCAGGGGATGTGACACTCGCCCACCCAGAGCACTGGCCCGCAGTGGCCTAGCACCCTGTCCCCTCTGGCTCGGGCAGACAGTCTGCCTGGCATGGGCCTCACCCTGCCCAGCGGGACACTTCCTCAGTCCTGGCCAAGGCCCTGAAGCGAGCGCCCGGCCCTCTTTGAAGTTCTGAAAAAGTTTTGTTTTTAAGTTAATGGCAAAGGTGAGAAAAAATTCAGAGCTAAAAAATTTCTTCCTGGGCCCTTGTCCCCTTTATTCACACCCTTCTCACAGGTGGGTGAACGGGGAAAGGGCCAGGCTGCGGCACGGGGGGAGTGGGTGTAGGGAGCAGTGCGGGGGGGACGAGGGTGGCGAGGAACAGAGTTGAGGCGGCAAAGCTCAGGCCACGGCGGGCAGAGAAGCCGCGGCGGCCCGCACACTCATCCCGCGAGTCAGCGGGTCACAGGGCAGCGGGGCACAAATGCTCGCCCTTTGGCTATGCGGCTTCCCTACGCTACCCCGCGCCGGCAGCCGTGTCCGCGGACAGCTACCAGGGCGTGGGCGCGGCCCCTCCCTGTGGGTCCGCACGAGTCTCCCTGGACACTGTGCCCACAGCGAAGTCCTCCCGCTACCAGCACCCCGCTCGCCGACAAGGCCGAAGCCGCACGAACACACCCCAGCTCCCGATTTTATTTAGGGCCTAGGGAAAAAGCGGCCCCCCACAAAGAGGCGCGAACAACTTCCTCTGTAACTGGTAGACGCCGAACGCCTGTCACCCGGCTCCTCTCTGCAACCACGCCCAGCACGCGAGGGCAGGAGGGGAGACGAGAGCGCGTAGAAACGAGGGCGCCGTGATTGGGGGTCGGGGCTGTACGCTGGGGCCTAAAGCCTTCACCCTCAGGGGCAGGGAAGGCTCAGACGGCAGGACCTGCAGAGGTGCAGGGGATGTGGGGCCGAACGCCAGGCCTAGCTGGGAGTCCGGCCCCCAGGGCTCGGGTCGCCAAGCCCCCCCACCACTGCACCCACTCGATCAGCAGCGTCCCGTGAGGCCTGAAGCTAGTCAGCCCTGGGGTTTCCAGCGAGGAAAGCTGATGGAGCCTCCTCCTTGTTTTCAGCTGACCGAGCTGAGTTCCACATCACGGACGACAGAGGAAGTCCACAGTAACGCAACCCCACGCCAGGCCCAGCCCAGAGACCATTTAGCACCAACTACGCAGAAAGGAAACCTGACAAACACTCCCGAGTTCCTAGCGCTTCTCATGACAACGTGGTTTAAGTCGGCCCATCGGTGGCCACAAACCTTGGGAGAAGAGCCAAGAGAGTGGCAGCCACTGAACCCCAAAGTCTCTCTCCTGGTCTTCTGAAGTCTAGACATTCATCAGACACGTGTAACAGACACTGCCACTCCCTAAACCGTCCCGCTTTCCCGGGGGATGGAAGAGCCGCCGGCACGTCCCGCTCCTGGAGGGGCATGCTGACCTGGGTGCGGAAGGAGTCCTCCCGGCCTATCCCCTAACAAGGGGGACTTGGCAGGAGCGGGGGGAGGAGGGCTCAGGAAGGCCCTCTTTCCGGGAGTTGGAAGAAGTGGAGGTGGCTTGCCCACGATGGAGGTGTTCCTGCCTTGAAGTGACGAATGATCACTGCTACTCAAAGGACTTGGTGTCTCAAGGCCTGGAAAAGTGGAGAAAACAAATGGTCAGCAGAAGCCTGCTGCCGGGCTGCAAGCTGCACGGAGAAGGACAGACGCAATTTCAGGAAGACCTCGACTTTCTCTGCCATGGAGATTTCTATGATCACAAACAGGATGGCAGCTAGACTTGCTGTGGTGATCACTTCACAGTCTACACAGACATCAAGTCGTCATGTTGTACACCTGTCACTAACATAATGTTTTATGTCCGTTCCAGCGCAAAGAAAAAAGAAACAGAACTGCTGTTTTAAGTTTCTGGGCTCCCTCCTCCACTGCGCACATAAAAGTGTACAAAAATGAAGCATTTTATGAGGTGAACAATTTCTTTAAAGCTTCACCACTGTCCCATTAACGTCAGCTACTTGTTCCTCTACGGGACAAGTGATTATTATTTTTTCTTAACTACTTAAAACAAGCAAAGTGAAAAGTTACTGCTTTAAGGACCTTGCTTGTGACTGGAATGCCTGTTAAAATCTCCAAGATTAGAAACTGCTTCTTCCAGGTTACCAGACACTTAAAAATGTAATCTTACAAGAGTCTCGATGAACAGAAAACGGCAACTCAGAAACAGAAAAATAAACTGACAGGACACCTGGCCTATCTCTACGTGTCCATCTATACAGAGAAACCATCCTATTTACATAGTAAAAGTCTGGTTCAAAAGGAAATTTAGTTTTGGAAGTAGCATTTGAGTCTACGAAGGTTAAACATTAAGATAGTGTATCCCCATCTGGACCATATACAACTCAGCTACCTTTGTATTACAGAGGGACGTTCTCTCGACCAAAAATTCCTACTTTTCTTTCGTATCATCCATGGATTTGCAGAAAAGGGTTTTCTGGGGTTCGAAATGGGGAAGGCAAGGGACAGTGCCGAATACCTTCCAGCTTCCCTTTCCTGGTCTTCAGGTAGTCGATGAGCAAGTCCAACTCACTCCTGTGCAAATGTTTTCCCTCATTCAACAGGAAGAGGAGGTGCCGAACGCCCACGGGGACAGTGTAGCTGGTGAGGCACTCCCGGGCCAGGAAGTCATCTACCAGCTCTCCAGCCCTCAGAGAAATGCCAGCATGTTCCTGCTGCTCCCGTTTAGCAAAAAGTCTCCTATACGCCTTAGCCACCAGCACCAGGGCATCCTCCAGGGGCATGTGACGATGTACTAGGGACAAGAAAGAGTCCGCTTTACATCAAGTGGGTTCCCTGATTTCATTTAAAAACACATTTACAAAAAAGAGGAAAAAATATCAGAAAGTAACACAGTTACTCCAACTACATGTTGTTTAAATGGTCTCCGCTTTCTGTACAGATGTTATTGGCTGTCCATGGAAGAGACTCGGACCCACACTGGCAAGCGCCCTGCCAGATTTCAAAATCAAACATGAATTCTGTTTCAAAATCATAACATGTGGCAGTTTGGTTTACCGTTTCCACACAAACCTACAAATCCCCATCTCACAATCGGGCAGCTTATGTTAAGCTGAGGGGGAGGGGGAGAGAGAGAGAGAGAAGGGTAGGGGAGGGGAGGGGAGGGGGAGAAAGAGGTGGCATGTGTGTCATTGGGAATTCTTATGGCTAAACAAACGCAGCCTTAAAAAAAATGCAACTTCAACCATCGCTGGCTACTCAAAGTTAAAAAAAAAAAAAAAAATCTAAAAGTGAAGGTGTTTTATTTCGTTCTAGAAATCAGGGTGTAGAACTTGAGATGAGTGTGATTTGCAGAAGAAACCGCCAGAAGCTGAGCATGGCAGCCTCCGGAGAGTAGAGCAGGGGCGAGGAAAGACTGAAGCGGAGCCGCTGCTCTCCACTGGGAGCCTCTTAGTGTTGACCTTTGAACTGCGTGTATGCGACGTTCTGATGAAAGGCAGGCCGACTGGCAGTGCTGGGCTCCCAGGCTGTCACTGTGGCACAGAGAGTGACCCACATCCTCTACGTGGCTCTGCAGCCTTGGGCTCAGGCCTGTGGGATCTTAAACGTGTTAAAAGCCTTTCCAGCTCAGGTTGGGTGTGCTCCGGGCCCTCAATATCACGTATTAAATAAATTCTAGACACCGAGAGCAGCTTTCACATAACTTAAAGGCTGTAGTCAATGCATTGGTGTCTTTTGCTCTCTCCTAGGTTACCTACTGAGAATAAGACTTAATAAAAGTTTAATTTTAGATGGGTGGCCATATATCACCAGCTGCCAAACAAATTCAGGACCCAAGGGCAGCACTATAGGGCTATGACAGAGGTTACAGTATTTGGCTAAATACTTAAACTGTTTATTAAGGTTACATTTAGGAAGAAATATAAATATATATTTGTCTTCGGATGTTGAAATTTCATTGTTTGCCTATTTTAAATGTTTGTCTTGGCATAGAAGCAGCTCCACACACTTCTGAATAACGGCTGCATGCAAGGTACGAAATAAACTCTTGGCTATAAAGCACTATGAAAAGGAATTAGCTAACATTAACTTTGCTAAAATACTTGTAGCTTATAGCATAAAAAAAAAATGTTCTTTTTACTTATGATCTGAATTAAATAATTAAATGGATGAAAAATGAAATATGTCCCTATTAATACTATTCTGGACATGAAAAAGAAACCATCCTCCGGATTTGTAATACGTTATAGAGTATATGCTTTCTTGAAGCAGTGCTTTTTTACAAAGTATTTTAGTATTCGATAAATTATTCAGTCTACTTACTTTAGTGATAATTTCCGAAATGACCTTGCAAAGAAGTTAACACCAGTAACCAGATGTGCTTAGTCCTCTCCACAGCCAGTTGAAATTATACTGTTCCCTACTCCAGGAGACTGGGATTTGTTAATTTTTGATAGTGTACGTTTCCTTTTACATTTTCAGAACTTACATATGACGTACATGTGGTTTAGTCTTATTATTTATTTAAAATAAATTAGGCATTTTCTGTGTTTAGAAAAACCATAGTTTCATACTCTTCAGAACAGTACTGAGCAAGAGCTGGCCAGGTGGGTGTTGGTGGCTACAAAGAGCCTAAGCTAATGCAATGGTCAGAATGTAAGCTGTCCTGGCATCCCCAACTGATGAGAAGCGAGTGGTCGTCACCACTGTCTTTTCGGATGCAACATTATAGCTGGGTTAGAGAACATCAATCCTACACTGACTTCTCTCCAGGCTCCAGAAGCCATAGGCAGGATACAAATCCGGCTACTAGTGCTCCACAGGGTCTCTGCCCAAGGGAGAGGTCTCCTGACCTAGCAGTGAAAACCCCGCACTGCTAAGGAGACGCAAGCTGGGATGGACCATCCAGGGCCGACTGGAGAAGCCTGTCTGGCTGCTGCTCACCTGGGCAGAGAAAGGAAGCAGGGTTGGCCTGACATCTCGTACAGTGCCTGGCACAGAGGAAGAACTAAGTTATTTCTAGATGGAACAGAGATGGTACCAAGAACTTCTGCAAGATGAGAGGACTAGAAAAGCCACGCGTGTCTGTTGTGACTCTGGGTGAGCTGTGAAGCTGGCCATCCACAGGGCAGCCCCTCTCTTAAAGCAGCAGCTCCGACCAAGAGGGAGAATGTGAGGGTGGCCTGGGAAGTGTGCATTTGCCTACGTCTGTGTATTTTAGGGAAGAAAAAAAAGAGTTCATTTTGGTGTAGTCTCGTGAGCCCAAGAATAACGAGATGTTAGAGACATTCTAGAAAAGGCAAAGTTGGCAAGAAGGTTGTCTGTGAGACTTCAGGGGATGATGAACACAGAATCTTTTAGGCTTAACACTAAGAGCAGAATAAATGGTGGTGAGATCTGGTCAAAAGTTCTGCATAAGAAAACTGAATTGGTTACGTAATATTTTGGACAAGATGTTTTGGATTAAGTCAGAGATGATAAAGACGATTTAAGTTTCAATTGTCTAATACACAGAGAGTTCTCTGTGACACCCATTCCAACAAGGAAGTCACTTTCTGCAATTAGACCCAGTTTAGTAACTGACAAATGAAACCTTCAAAGCGTAGCAGCATACTAAGAAAAAACATTACATTTTTAAAGCAGGATCTATTTTAAGTGGTAGTTCGAGACTGAGCTAAACTTACTTTTCACGGACTCATGAAGCGTAATTACGGTGCAAGAAGAAAGTCTTACATTAGACTGTTCGACAAGGACACAAAACGGGGAGCCGTCGTCCTTAACTTCCTGCAGGGCGCGAGTGAGGCCCGACTCAGAGGTGAGGTGAATCATTTCCACCACGAGGCCGTGATCTTGCAACCGATGGCCTATGACTGTTGCGTATTCCCTTAAACACACGCGCACATGAGAAAAAGGCAGGTTACTTTCAATCAAACACAAGAAAAAAAAAATCTGTCATCAAGCAGCTGTTCCATAGATATTTGATGCATCACAAATTTAAGTAAGTGGTTAGATACTATATTTTTTACGGTATTTAGAGAAGTGGAAGATGTTACATTTTTTTAAAAAAAATCATATGTGCCTACAACCGATTTTCATTCTTAGACTTGCTAAAGACACTCACGGGTATGTCACGTGTCTGGCGGGATCGGTTATGAGAAGTAGAGGCAACTCTGACCAAAAGGAAACACACCTTCCTGGAAACGCAGTGTTCTCACATGGTTGAGTACGCATACCATTTTATCAAGAAAGCAGAGCACGTCAGAGACATGTGTTTGTGTGTCATGATACACTGGGTAAGTATTATGGTGTGGCCAGCATTTTTCAAAATGGAATCACTCAAGTGTTACTTGATGAAGTCATTTCAATTTAAAGCCCATGAAAGAAACATTAAGATTGTTTTAAAGAACCGACGAGACCATCATCTTCGGAAAAGTGAGAGAATGCTCACTTACAATTAGCTCTGGCGGCAGACCGATACTTGTTGAGGCTAAAACCACTGGGACAATCCTTGGTACAGAGTAAAGGGATGACACTGGAGTTAACTGTCTCAGTCAGCATCGCTCATCACACAGCTAACATTGGATCTAAACCAGAGTCATCTCGGCTACTTCCTCAGCCTTGGTCCTCAGGTTCTCGAGAATCAGTCTGAGACCTCTCCTTTGGGTTTCTGATCCCGGTCTTGCCCAGTCCTTGCTCAGACACCTGCAGAGGCCTCCTGCCACAGCTTCTATCCTTGACTTCTAGGCCCACTTCAGCCCATCCTACAGCTCAGCCTCTGAGTCATCGTGTTAAAAGTACTGCTTTCAAAAATGCCACGGTAACTGCTCAGCATCCTCAACTCTTACTCTAGTTTTCGAAGTCCTGGCAAGATGTGGCTCCAACTACCTTAACAGGTTTTATAACGTCCTGAGTTTCATGCACCCCATTCTCTTCCCAAACGTAATTTCCTGTAATCTTGGGACAACCAGCTCTCTGTACACTCTTCCCAGTTGTGCCTTCCCTGCTGTTCTGTTCGCGAGACTCAGCGGTCCTCGCCTCAAAGGCCCAGCCAAACGACATCGTCCCCTGACACGTCTATGATTCACCTGCTTGGACCCCACATGGTGTCCACTCTTCCCTGTGTGCGTACCCCGCGTAGAGCGGGGACGGCTCTGCCGGCTCCGTCTCCATCTGCTGTTTACGCTCATGTTTTATGTTACTCGACTGCCTGTGGTACAGACAGGAACTGTTACTCATCTCTGTGGCCCTCGCCGTGCCCAGTTTAGAGCTTTACATGTAACAGGTGCACTTTAAATGTGTACCTGTAAATTAAAAATTAACATGATGGCAGGAAAATGCTTCTCTGGCAATTTTGGAGAGGATAGATCATTTCAGAAAATAAATTCAAGAGGAAAACAAGAAAAACAAGACATGGTTCATATTTAGAGTGACAATCCATGAGTTAAAATTATCACAAAAATAATTCACACTGGAGGAGACATGATCTGAAAATTAATTACTGTTTTAGAGTATAAGAGAATGAATCGGGAGACTGATTTATCACTACGAATCTTTCCAACAGCAAAGTGACAACAGAGCGAGCAGCACGGCAGAGTTAAAGGGTTTCCCGTGGCAGCACGTGGCAGAGGAGGTCCCAGCCTGCACCCACCAAAGGTCCTAACCCACGGCGGAATGCCAGAGCATGGAACACCACGCAGAGGCTGGGGAGCACCTGAGGGGCGGCTTCTGCGCATCTCTCCAGATGAAGGGAGACAAAAGCAGCAATCTCCAGCGCTCCTCGCATCACGATAAAATGCACTCAGATTAATACCCGTCACCTGGCTCTGCAGACGGGAAAGTGGCAAGAATAACAGGGTGGTGTGAGCCAGCTGGCAGCTGGAGTCGGTCGCGATTCTAAAAGAAGTACGAATGCTACCCGTCAGGTGTGATGCTCGCTAGGAGTGTTGAGGAAGCGAATCTAGTCGATGATGAGTGCAGTTTCTCTGGCTGGTTGGTGCAGAGCGTTGCACCAACACTGCTAAATGTCGAGGAAAAACAGAGCCACTGTGCAGGCCGAGTTGTTACTACCTCTGGGTTCCAAGTCGGTTTAAATTATCACACGATCACAGTAACCCAGAGCACGTCAGTTGTCCTTCCATTGTTAACGGGACATTCCGTAACAATCTGACGTGAGGGGCTGGCCTCTCCCGCCCTCCCATGCCGTGGCTGACCCCTTCCTTCCAGTATGCTGTCTCGCAAGGCCCAACCCATGTACCCTCAAAATGAGGCAGAGCTACAATTTTGCTTTCACAAACTCTAAAAGTAAGGATGCTATCTACAAATGAATTAGATTTCAGTATAGGAGATACCACAGGATAAAAAGTCTGTCATTTTGAGATGGCAAATTTTCACCTAAAGTGAGAACACCTACGCTGCCTTACTGCTGAGCTGTTTTGCACATGCTGGTCTCCTGCTCAGTTCTTAGTGCTCATCTGTCTGGGTCCTCAGTGTCACTCAGAACCGAACCCAGAGTAAGTATGCATGACCCCAAGTGACCACTGTCCACACGGCAGGCTCTGCCAAGCACTATGAAACCCGACCTCACCCGGAGACACAGTCATCACCACATACTAACCCCCCTGGCTGCCCTCAGTGCCAGCCATGGTGTGCAAGTCCAGAGCACCGCACAGACCCACGAGACAAGCTGACCCAGCCTGGAGGGCAGGAGCTCGTAGAAGACCCGGCCGCAGCTGCACTGAAGTGCCCACGTGAGTGAGGCAGGTGGGAAAGAGGGGACGGGCATCTGACACTGAAGAAGAAACCAGTGTGGACAGAGACTGAGAGGAATTCGACAGGCGGTTAAGAAACGGGAGGAACATTTTAGGCTGGGCGCGGGCAGCTGGGAGGCACACTGCGCCAGACGGTCAGCGCCCGAGGCAGCGGCTTGTCGGCTATGCCCGCTACCATATCCCCAGAGCCTCGGACAGAGCCTGGCGCAGGCCACCCAACCCTGAAAATAGCTTTGGTTGTTTTATGATTATAAAACTGATGCTCACTGCGGAAAACTCAAGCAACACAGAAACGCTGAACGTGACAGTAACCTTCAGAAACCTCCCGCCCCAGGACGGCACTGCCGCCAGCCCGGGAGACCCGACAGTATAATTCTTGTAACCTCTGACGCAGTGCTCTAACTCAGCATTTCTAGACTCTCAGCTCTCAGGGACTTCCACACCTAAGGCTGAATGCCTGTTCCATGAGTACGCGCTCCCATGTGACACGCTGAAGAAATAAAGCTACCTCTGTTCCTTGTTGACAGAAACAATAATGCAATCTGAAGGCCGCTCTCGATCACGCTCTTTCTGAACCATCTGATAAAAGTGCTGGAAAAGCCCCTCTTTCCAAATGTCCCAGCTGCTGGCATCATCTGAAAAACATGAGTATTATCATGCTCTTGCAACGCCCAAAGCAGTCATTGGAGGTGTTCAGAGTTTCTTGCAAAAATGTAAATGAAAGACAACACGCCCACAAGGAACAGACAATGAAGATTAAGCAGACTCTCAACTGGACCCTTACCTAACGGAGGGTGCTGGTACCGGGCACGGTGATCGTCACTCCCTTTTGAATAATCAGCCACATTCCGCCATAATTCATCAATGCTGTTGGATGCATGAAAATATAAGAGTTGGTACAGACAGTTTCCCTCTCACTGTGCCCCAAAAGCTGAAAAATAAATATCAGATCACCTAGCACAGCACGCAGCTCTGGACTTCCAGAAGCGAAGCCCCTGCCAGAGTCCGGGCCGGCCCTGACCTACGCGTGATCGCGGGCTCACCCGAGCAGGCTGTGTCTTTGTCTGCGTCTCTGCCACTGGCTCCAGAGGCCATTCTTTAAGCCGCCCGCCTTCTCTAACCCTTGCTTCACTGTGTTCTTGCTGGCTTCCCCTCTGCCTTTGCATTTTTCCTTTTAATGATGTGGTATGGAAACGCGCTGCCACCACCCTCAGCAGTCAGAGGGATCGGGAGGTGCCCCAGAAGCTGGTAGCTGGCCATGAAAGGCCATACATATGATGTTGAAATTGCAGCTGCCTAGGCTGGGATCTGAGCTCCGTCATTTACTAACTGGGTAAGCTGGGCAAATTATCATCTTGATGCCTCAGTTTCCTCACCTGTAAAATGGAGATACTAGGAGATCCTACCTCTAAGTGTTGCTACGAGGACTGAATGAGTTAATGCAGGTGCCTGACGCAGAGCAGGCCCTCAACAGATGTGAGCCATTGTTATCCATCTTTGTCTTTAGGTTCCTCTCAGACCCGGGCTGAGGAAATCTCTCCTTCAGAGGCATCTGAGGCTCGTTCTCAGGAAATGTTACCTGAGAGAAGATAACCCCCACTATCAGTCACCCCTGAATCCCGTGCTTCTCAGTGCTTCCGCAGCTGAGGAAAGCCTTGTTCCATTTTGAATTATTAATCTAATCTGACACAAATCTCATCTTTAATGTGACACGCTGAAGGCGAGAGGCCCTGTCCTAACAGAAAGATCAATTCAAACACAGTTCAAGGAAAACTGCTTTTACTGAAACTACAGAGGCACACCCAAGGCGAGAATCTTGAACCGCCATGCTGATTTACATATGTAATTGCTTAGAACACCACCGTTGATCGTTGATCGTGGAAGAGTAAACGAAACGAGATAACCTTCAAAACTGTTTCCTTTGGAATACACTTTGGAATGCAACACAATGGTCAAAACCAGGAGGACAAATAGTCCTCCAAGATATACAGTCAAGTGAAAGAAGTTAAGTTCCAGAACAACACACCAGCGTCAGCCATTTAAGTCAAAAATGAGGAGGGGTTCGGGGATGGAAAAGCTTTGAAAAGGGATTTTTCACTTTTTATTATCAGACACTTTTATATCCATTTAGTCATTCTTTGGGTAAAAAAATAAAGAACTTTTTTTTTTTAAGAGACATGCTCAGCTCTGGAGTACTGATTCGTCTCCTAAAATAAATTTGCATTTTTGAGCATATACTGATGGTTAGATGGTAGCACAAAAAAGGTGTGGAGGTATGGAAGAAAGGGGGACCCACAGAGCGGGTCACCCACGTGGGGCTTACTGAAAACCCCGCGAAGAAAAGGCCCGAGTGGCTGAGTCCCTTCGGTCCGCAGGTCTGTTTTAGTTACTCGAGTCCAAATGACTACAGAAAGGTGAACGTTAAAGCGGAAGGGCTTAATACGATCGAGTTGACCTGAGGGACTCCCCAAAAAGCAAATATTAATAACATCAAATCTAACAAACACATAAGTCTGCACAGTAAGACCACATCTAAATTACTACTAAAGCTTTTAGCAAATTGAGCCACGACAATAAAATTTTACCTTCGCATGTCTTCCCCCTCCTTTAAGTAGCCCTCTTGGGGAGAATAAGAAGTCGACAGAAAAGGTTTATATGGCTTACTGCTAAAAAACCAACAAAGACAAAATTACACTTAAGAAGAAATTACTTCCCGTGGTCCATACATTGGTTTCCACAGTTCTGGTACCCACTAAGGCGATTAAATCTTCAGTTAAACTGGGGTTTTTAAAACGCGAACAATGGCTTTTCTCAGAATTTTTTCCAGAACCTCTCCTCTATTTTGTAATGCCTATTTCTATTTTTGTCTAGTTGTCTGCTTGACTGTTTCTGCAGAGTTGACAATGGAAGGCACGGCTCTGTTACAAGAAAGACCGGTACAAACTCATGACAGAAGGGGCTTCAAACTAATGAACCTGATTTGCCCAAATGAACTAAACCTATAAGTTTGTAAAGCTGAGAGTATGTGGTAATTATTTTTTAATTACTGTTTTCTAAAGCTTCTCTTTGCTAGACGCTGCACTAACATCGCCATAAATTTCTGTGGATTATCTGCCACCTTTACCGTATCTGACATAAACTCCACAATGCATCTTATGAAACAAACTCCTAAACGATGCGTGTGCATCGATGCCGAGGGTGAAGCGTCCACGATGAAGACCACTGTGAATGTTTCCATGCCACGTGCATCTGACACAGCGGACACCACCCTCCTCGCTGAAGAGTCGTGTGGTTAACATACGACGTAGATCTACATCTAAGACAAAAACAAAGGGCAAAACCTAAGAAAACGCCTGCTCCAAACTGTTAGCTGAAAGAAACAGGGGCGAAACACGTAAAGTGTGTGGATTTGGACTGAGAGGGTTAAAGAGTTATTAGAAAGCTCTCCATTCCCAAAACGGGTAAGGAGCACAGATGCTGACTCGACCCTCTTCGCGACGATCCCAGCCAAGTTTGAAGGCCACGAGAAGGAATAAGCAGATGGCTCAATGTGAGCGAGTCAAAAGGAAGTTGCATTTGCCTTCCTCGGCTTCCTAGCAACTAGACCAACTGATGCCAAGAAAGCCAGCCGGCTCTAAGGAGAAACGCTGCAGGATATTGGAACCCAGCAGCCGGGCAGAGGAGAAAAGGCCTCCAGACACCCCCACCTGGCCAAATGAACCCCGTGCCTACCGGCACCCACACTTCCCGCCTCACTGGGGCCTCCGCTCCCGTGCAGTTCCAGCTCCGGCCTACCTGGCCATGCTAACGTCAACCACCTGACTACTCAGAACTCTTTTCAGGATGACCCTTCAAATGTCAGTGGCCTCAGATGTGCAGTCTAGCCCAGCAGGCAAAGAATAACTTCCCCCTTCTCCACTGGAGGGCAGGCCCCACGCGCTCTTTCTGCACGCCCGCCAGCTGGACAAAGGGCCTGTGAGCAAACACCGCGGCCCGGCCGAGAAAGGTGGGCACGTATCCGGGCTCAGGGCTCAGAGGCCGAGAAGCACCCCTCCTTAACAACAACCGCTAAGTAACTTGGAGGCCGGGGATTCCCAAACCAGCTGCGTGGAGGAATTACACTCAGGCACAAGTCGTCTTTGTGGAAGTCACGATACTACACACATGAACTAGATCCCCCAGCAGGTGCAAGTGGCCGCAGGAAGGCTCGGACGCTGTTAAACGCTGCAAGGTCACCCTGAGCCCTGGCAATGCCACTGCATTTTGCCATATTCTCTGTGGTCTCCCTGTAACGAGTGGCACCCATGAAAACTTCAGTTCTCCTACTCACTTAGTGGGTAGCAGGTCAACCACGGTCAAACAGAAAACAGAACTTATAATTACAAATATATCTTGGGAAATTAGGATAGTTTTCCAGTAGTTCAATGAAGGCGTTTTCGATGTATTATATTTGAGCCTTATAACAACCGTGAAGCTGGGTAATATCAACCTCCACACAGTTTAAAAACATGAGGAAACAGGCTCAGATCACATGACTTGCCACACTGCTAGCCTGTGAAGCTCAATTTCAAATCCAAGTGTGTCTGACTCTAAAACCCAGGCTCTTTTCAATACCTCTCAGCTCAAAACTCTGAGTTTAACGCAGGAAGTCTGTAAGTAAAAAAAAATTAGGAAAAGCGATGCAAATACAAGTAAAAGAGATGAAGATATTAAGTCATCCTAAATTTTTATGGAAAGTAAATTAACATAGGCATAAAAAATTCTCACTTGATAACATAAAGAGCATGAGGGGGTGCTCCAGAGTGAAACAGCTGCCTGCCCACGCCTCTCCTGGCCGTGTGACAGCAGGCGAAGTGCCTTCCGCCACACAGCTGGGCGGACCACCCAAGTAAGAGCGATCCACAGCTGAAGCCTCAAGACCCACGCGGAGGAACCGGGACTCTCCGCGCGCTGGAGGGAACGTAAAACGGTACAATCACCTCAGAAAACAGTTTGGCAGTTTCCGAAAAAAGTAAAACACACATAACCTAGCCAGTCCACTCCTAGATATTTACCCAACTAAAATGACAGCGCGAGTCCACACAGACTGAACAAGCGTGTTCACAGAAGCGACACCTGTAACAGCCCCAAACTGGAAATGACCACCAGCAGGTGAATGGGAAACGAAGTGTGGCGTGTCCGTGCATCTCGGCCTGCTCAGGCTGTCCTGACAAACCCGCAGAGTGGGTGGCTTAAACAACAGGAGGCGACTTTCTCAAGAGTTCTGGAGGCGGGAAGCCTGGGATCAGGATGTCAACACGGTGACATTCGGGGAGAGCTCTTTCTGGCTTGCAGACGGCCACCTCCTTGCTATGTCCTCACATGGCTTTTCCTCTTATAAGGCCACCAATCCTACCGGGTTAGGATCCCAGCCTTGTGATCTCACTTAATCTTTATTACCTCTTAAAAGTCCTGTCTCTAAATACAGTCGTGCTGGGGGCGGGGGAGGGAAGCCCGACTCAGTCCGCAGCACCGGATAAGGGAACGGTACAAGGGAATGTCACTCAGCGACAAAGTAAGGCCGTGGTCCCCAACCTTTCTGGCACCAGGAACAGGTTTCGTGGGGGGATTCAAGCACATTACATTATTGTGCACTTTATTTCTATTATTATTACACTGTAATGTATAATGAAGTAATTATACGACCCACCATGATGCAGAAACAAGGGGAGCCCTGAGCTCGTTTTCCTGCAACTAGCCGATCCCATCCGGGGGTGATGGGAGGCGGAGACACCTGACGTGTGTGGCTTAAGTCCAGTCTACTCCTAATCTCGTTGTGGTTACTGTCACTGCTGAAATCCCTGCTTCACAAAGACAGGCTGTTGGAA